GGCTTCTGCCTGCGGGACGGTCCTTGCCTCCCCCCGGCAGCGGCTCCGCGGGTGCCCAGCGCCCCGCGGAGCCGCATTTGCGTTTTCCATTGACACATTGCACGGGAATCTGCGTAACACACGAGCTACTCTTTTTTTTTTTCTTTTTTTTTCACCCTGAAATTATCTCATTTCCTCAAATACATTTGCCATGATTTAACACAGTTAGGACTCCGTTCAAACTTTTAGCACAGGCTTTTAGTATTTGCTGTCTGTCCTTCGCCTGGTCTCTCCCAGGAAAAACAAGCAAGTTTTTTCATCACTTTCCTCGCCAGAATTTGCCGTTGGTAACTGTAGCTTTAGGAAGTTGTTTCTCTTGTTAGTGTTTGCTGCAGAAAAAAAAAAAAAAAAAGAAAAAAAAAGTCCTGCCGTCCAGGACAAACGGAGAACGCAAACGAAGAGAAAAAAAATCGATTTATATTACCCCCAAACCTTCCCCCGTGCCCACTGCGTTCCGTTGTTACCTTTTAACTTGCGTGGACTTCTAATAGCTAAACAGAAGAGCTTTCATTTTCCCCTATCCCTTAAAAAAAAAAAAAGCCAGTTACAATAATGAAAAAATTTAGCAGCAACGCGGGGAAACTTGTTAAACTATTTTTTCCTCCAGATCTGTGCCACAGCTGCTCATCTCTTTATTTACTTCAGCCTTACAAAATCCATTTCGAGTCGGAGCAAGTTTTCTCGCGACTCCCTGCGTGGCCTCGGTGCAGCGCTGACGGGCGGCTGAGCACTGCGGGCGTTGAACTTGAGCTCTCGGGTCACGGGCTGGGGCTGGCCGCTCCCTGACTCCCACCTCTGCTCTGAAGCAGCGCGGGGACCTCGGGGACCCTGACCTGGGACGAGCTCGCCGACCTGCCGCAGCTGCGACATGAAATGAAACATCGGCCGAGTAGCTTTGCGACCGGAGTAGCGCTTTATCGTTTAAATTAAAACCTGTTTGTGTGCAAAGGCAGCCCCAGAAGACATCATGTAATCATTAACCTCGCAAAGCGAGCGCCTGCGGGACCTCAGCCTGGATAGCGCGGGGAGGGACGGTGCTGCAGGGCCCGCGTGACTCGGGGACACGCTGGCTTCGTGTCCTTCACCGCTCTCGGGTGACATTTCACGGAGAATCAGGACTGAACACGCAGGCAGACGCCCCGAGACTGGCCCCTTACATGTATGACGGCGCGGGGCGGGGGGGGGAGTCGGGTCTGAGAGGGAGCGGCGGTGCCTGCCGAGACACGCGGGGCAGCGGCTGCGCGGGC